TCTTCTCCAGCACCACAGCTCAAAGGCATCAATTCTCCTTCTATCCTCCCTAGTCATTGTCCAACTCTCTGATGCATAGCAAGTAATTGCAAAGACCATGGCCTGTATCAGATGCACCTTAGTCTCCGTAAGGACACCATTGCTCTTCAGTACTTTGGAGAGGTCCCTAACAGCAGACTTTCCATTGTAATACATCTTTTAATTTCCTGGCTGCTGGTGCCAAGAGTATTGACTGTGGAGCCAAGCAAACTAAAGCTGTGAACATAGAGAATGGTTTTAATTCCCATCACTTTCGACAAGATGAAAAGAGCAGATTAGACAGAGAGAAAAGCTTAAATTGGTAGTGGGTTGGGGAGAGCACTAAGGAACAGAAGCTGAAATATAAAAAGATCACCCCAGAACTGAAAGAGAGCACTACTTCTCCTAAAGCCAATGCTCTGGATTGGACCACTAACTTCCTAAGCTGTAAGAGAAGATATTTCTGTTCATTAAAGACCTGGGTTCGGTCCCCAGCATCTCCACCAAAAAAAAAAAAAATGACCTTCAGCTGTTATATCTGTTACAGCACCACTAAGAAACAACCTTCTAGGACCAAAGCAATGGGAAAGTCTCTCTTTTTTAAAGACTCTGTTCTGGGAAACAGTGTATTTGAATCTTGTAAATAAACGCATATAATAATTTTTAAAAATATTTAAAAATGTAATTTTGTAAAAAAATAATGTCTTCATTGTATCATGAGACTCAGTAAAGTCCTATGGCCAAGGGAGAGACAGTTACAGTTATATACTAGATGCTTAGTTTAAAAACTAGGGGAATATAAGTATTAAATCATTGACTTTAGAAAACCAACACATTTTTAAGACCATATGCTGTTATCTAGAAATAAAGCAGTATAGCTTATAGGGAAACAACCTGACTTTACATTGTTAAAGTTTCTTCCCTCATCACTTAACAAATATTCATTACTCTGGGCATTAAGGGGAACTACTGGGTACACTCCAAGCCCCAAGACAAAGCAGTAGACAAGTAAGGGCCAAAATGAGAGTTACAGAGGATGCATGGATGTTGAATAGGAAGATAGTGCTTGTCCTGAGACTGAAGAATGAGTACAGTTCAGTTTTTTCCTTTAGTTCTTTATGCATACAAGATGTGGTGGGGGTGGCGGTGCTGTTTCATCAAGTATTCACCAACTCATAACAACCCTATGAGCAGCAGATATCTGCCCTATCCTTCCCCCTCCTCATGATCTCCAATGCTCGAGCCCATTGGTAACAGTCACTGTGTCATCCATCTCCTTGCTTGGCCTTTCTTGCTCTGACTCCACCTTTCCCAGCATCATGTCTCTTTCCAAGAACTGGTCCCTTCTGACAATCTGATCAAAGTATGTGAGGTGAAGGTTCACCATCCTTGCCTCTAAGGAGCATCCTGGTTGTACTTCTCCAAAGCAGACATTTTTGTTCTTTCAGCAGTCCATGACATATTCAGTACTCTTATCACACAACTCAAAGGCGTTGATCCTTTTTTGCTTTCCTTACTCATTGTCTAACTTTCAGATGTATAGAAAGCAATTGAAAATACAATGGCTTGGAACAGATGCATCTTGGTCTTTAAAACTGACATTTTTTTTGTTCTTCAGTACTTTGAGGAAGTCCTTGACAGCAGATTTTTCAAAATGCAGCACCTCTTTTTATTTCTTGACTGTTGTTACCATGGATGTGATCATGAATACAAGGAAAATTAAATAGTTGATAACTTCAATCTTTGCTCCATCTATCATGATACCTGACATCAGAAAGGGGAAAATAAAATATAGTCCTTGCCCACAGGGAACTCAGAAGAAACAAATGGCAAGAAATTCATATAACCGACAGAAGAATATGCAAAATACTATAGCTAACCATCTGAGGGATGGATGAGGAGAGCATTCACAGAGAAAGCAAAGCTTGAGTTCATTCCCTAAAGTACTAAGGAATCCTCCAGGTAGTTGGGGAGCCAAGGCAATGTAGGCATGGGAAACAGCATGTACAAGTACACAGAGGAATAGAAGAGGGCATGTGACTTCAGAGAAGAGGAATTGGCTAAGTATGACTGAGTAGAACATGTTTCTGGTAGGAGACAATGGCAAGAGAGGAGACTGACAACAGAGAAACAGACTAGACCATGAATAACCCTGACTTCAAAAGAAAACTCAAGTAGTGTTGAGTTTTACCTTGGACAGGGCCTTTTAGGATACAAGAATACATTCCCCTCCTCCATTTGCATTTTGTTGTTATTGTTGAGAATGTACACAGCAACACATATAAAAAATTCAACAGTTTATACATTTCCAATTCAATGACATTGATTATATTTTTAGAGTTGTGCAACATTTTAACTTTCCTTTTCTGAGTTGATTATCCTTTATTCATATATGCTCACTACTCCCTACAGTCCCTATCTAAGGTTTTCAGTTGTTGTCGGTCTGATCCCATAGATATAGCTCTTAAAAGAGCAGAATGTTCAGGGAAGACCTTTTCTTACTAGTTAAACTAAACTATTACTCGGTTTTAAGATGACTTTAAAGGATATTTTTAATTTAAGGCTTAAAGATTATCTCATGGCAACAGTTTCAAGGGTTCCTCTGCCTTCTGTGGCTCCAGAAAGTCTATAGTCCATGAGAATTTGACATCTAGTTCTGGGTTTTTAGAACAGGATTCTTCTATAGGATCTCTAATCAAAATGTTCAGTAATGGTAGTCAGGCACCATCCACTTCTTCTAGTCCCATGGCAAAGGAGCCATTTGTTCAGGGATGCAGTGAGTCACATGTTCCATATCCTCCTCCCATTCCTGACTCTTCTTTCTTTGTTGTTCCGTCCAGGCAAAAAGAAGCCAATTGTTGTGCCTTAGACAGAGGCCATTAGAGATACATTTAAAATTGAAGAGATTGACTGCTCATTAATGTCTTGAGTGGTACTTACTGGGTATTAGGCTATAGTTACTTGACAAAT